AGGTCTGTTGTCTGTCACATAGACACAAATTGCTTATGACACTTTGGGTTGTTCAATTATTCTTACTTATAACAAGATTAAAAAGAAGTTTCTCAGGGTGCTTTTTATCACTTCCTTTTGCAGCGCTGGTGAGGATGCTTGGCTTTAGCAGGTCTTTTGACTCCCTAAGTTGAGGAAGTTATCATTTCCAAACAGCTGGGCCTCTGGCTTTTTGTATCACATGTTGCTCTACAGGAACCTTTGGGAGCTGGCCACAGGCAGGTCAACATGAGAAAAGGTGGCAGAAATCTGCAGGATGTCATTGGCTTCAGCTCTTCTATCAGCACATATGCACAAAGCAGAACTTGCCCTTAATATTCTTTTGTTATTCTAACATCAAAGGGCTAAATTATGCCCACTAATATGTGTAAGAGGCTTTTCAGTTATCTTTCTGATGCAAATTATATCATTTTGCATTATCCACTGATTATCTGTGGTTTGAAAAGTACCGCAGATGTTGAGCAAAGCCTATATGTCAGTTCTCTCCTCCAAGAACAGCATCCAAGTAAGCAAAATTGAAACAGCCCTGTAGGAATTCTAGTTTAGCTGTAGCTCAAGGGTGAAATCAGTTTGGGCTTTAAAAAATTTGTCAGATATTGATGAAACTGCGATTAAAGGACTAGGTTTGCCCAGCTCAGCACCTGGATGTATACCAGGTCATCTCCAGCATGTACATCCTCTCCCCTTGCTAGATGCCTATATTTAGGATGCTGTTACATTTAACAGGCGCTCCAGGTCCATTAGAGAACAGCCCAGTGTGAGATCTGCCCTTGGCTCTACTGCACAACATGGAATAAGTCGTATTTGATTGTGGCAACATGCCGACAATACCAAGGTTAATGAATTAAAGATGTAAAACAAAAAATGCTTAAAGAAGTCCAATTATGAGTGATTGTTTTACTAGGTGGTATTTAGGATTCAGAATAATCATTACAAAATAAATCCTCTTCCCACCTCTGACTGGGCTCTTGCAGAGGTGCACAGCATTTCAAAAAACAGTTGAGTTGAGAAAAAGCAAATACCCAAAAGGTGTGCAAGGCAACATCAGCCAAACATGGTATTACTTCCTGTTTTTAAGAAACAGTGATAGGAAAGTATGGGGGGGAAAAGGAACTATATCATGACTCCGCCTTCTAAGTGTTATTATCATAATGTGGATAAAAACCTTTCTGGTTTTGCCTGTGTTAAATCTCAGTAACCTGGCTCATTTGCAAGTTCAAGCTTTTGTATGTCTGTAACATAGCCTGTTACTGTAGTCAACAGTTATTAATTTAATGGTAGTTTCTGGACCATATCTTATTATCTAGTCAGACATATTGAATTATGACAGAAGACTTCTCCAGAAGTCCACTGAGGGCACTCACAGAACATTGCCAGATGATCGAATATCCACGACAGGGAGGAGTGAGAGGAGCCTTTTCACCCAGTCCTGTCTATGCTTCTGAAGCTCTGTCGAACTCACCCAGTCCTTAACTTGTGGAAGTTAGGGAAGATGTGATTCTATTAGACTCTCCTTTTTCCTCCTATGCTGAACACCTTACAAGGTTGCAACAGGACCACAGACAGGCCTTGACCACACATTGAAGGGCACAGTATGAAAGGCAGCTGCCAGAGTTGGAAGAATCAATGTCAGCTCTTTCTCTTTGCCAAAAAGACTATTGATTCTCTATACTTACTCCTGTAACTTGGCTGACAGGTTCGTAGGACAACAAGAATCTCAGCTAAGAACAGTGCTGCTTCAGCCAGTTATTCTTAATAACCCTGCCAAGGAAAGAAGATTTATAGACAGGAGCTGAACAAGACAAGAGAATTTTTTTTTTTAATGTAAGAACATATTTCAGGAATTTGCTTGGGTACCAGTTTTCTCATATTCTTTTCCACAAAGCTGCAAGAGTACAGTCTCTCTGGAGTGCTTGATGAGTAAGAGGTGATATATGAAGTGGAGTAAGAGGATGTACATAAAGCTAGTCTGTGTGTTCCCTCACATAGGAGCAGCTGTACAATAGCACGAGTTCTTAAATCATGGCCTTCTAGACTCACAACTAACCCATTCCCCCTTGAAGTTAATTAGAATTAACTTCAGATCTTGCTGACCTGTATGCAGATTATATGTTTACCACAGTCAAGGTTTGGCTCTCCACATGTCCTCTTTTCCTAAGGCCATCCACTTGTTTGGCTGTTCCTGCCATGTGCATATATTCTTCTTCAAAATTAATAACCAGATCTTTCCACATGACTTCTCTGCTTTATCAGACATCTATATCCTGACCTGTTTGAGAAACACTACGAAATCTGGTACAATGCACTGGCAAATAAAAGCAATACAATAAAAATAGTGGTGATTGGTTGGATGTTACTGCTGTGGTAGAATATATGTCAGAAGAGGGAATACGCTGTGCTGACTATAGGATAGCTCTGATTTACTGTACTTTCAAACCATAACTTGAATACCCTGTGTTTTTCAGAATGTCTGTAACTTTTTTCCTCTCACCTTAATGCATTATCTTTATGTACCCTATATTGTCCAGAGAATATCTGGTGGAAATACCAGCACAGAGCACCTTGCAGGCTGGCAACTTGGGCTTTGCAAAGCTTTTATGGGAGTTATAAGGAAGACACCCAGCAAAAATAGATTGATATCTGAGATAGTGTCTGCACATGCTTGTTATGTGATTGACTGTGACAATGCCAGATGATGGAAATAGATATTTCTCAAGCTTTACTCATCAAAAAGAAGCAGACAGAAGCATGAGCTTCTTTCATATATTTTCTTTTTGTAAATCATGTTTCAGTAAAACACATCAGTAAAGTCCTATTTAATTTGAACTTTAAGTCTTAGCTATTTGTTGAACAGCATCAGGCAGGTAATGTGTGGGGGACTTCTGAGGACTTGAAGCCTCTCACTTTGGTCTTCCAGCATATTTCATATCGGAACAAAAAGCCAGCATCCTTGAAAACAAAAAATCTTGTAAAAACATTACCCCTCTTAGATTCTGGCAATACACTGAATGGGAGTGAGCTTTGAACTCTGAGACTACAAGGTGTACCTGGTTAGGTTTAGTGCCAGGGTGAGGAAGTCCCCTGGAGACCAAGTACTGCAGGGGGAGAATTCAATCACTAAGGTGTTTCCAGGCTGAAACACCTGGATGGTAGATTAGACTGAAATACATTCACAGAATGTGCTGAGAGGTTTCTTCCAAGCAGGAACCAATTACAGAAAAGAGGACATTTGTTTCTTTAAGTACTAATCTAATTTTTGGTTATTCTACTGGATATGCAACATAGAAATTTTTCTACTTTAATAGATAGAGATGAATTCTAACTTGTGCCTGAGCCTCTCCCAGTACTAAGCAATTATTTCTCCCTTTTTCTCACCCAGAAGCCTTAGGATAGTAAAAAATAACAATATTGTTCTAAAAGATTTAGCTGTCAATTTGCTGAACAGTGTCTTCTGGCTAATAGGACACAGTTCACATTCAACCTTAAAAGGCCTGTGATAGAAACTATTAAATACCCCAATTAGGAATGAGAATGAGCGGTCCCATAGGGACCTTTGCACTCTGATGTTCTCACTGCCAGTGGAAGAATAAATAAGTGCAAAGCCTGTCACCCTAGCTAATAACTCCCAGAGACAGAGGTTACAATGACACAATGGGAGTTAGCCCATGTTTCAATGATGTTTTGCTATTAAATTTGCCTCTCTGAAAGGCTTTTTATGACTGTGAGAAAAAAAGAGGTGTCATACTCAAAGCATATGACCCAGCAGTCTGGGTTTTATGACAGCCAGCACTAATCAAGCACAGGAGACTTTTATTTTTTTTAAATAATGTACCAGTAGCTTTCCTTTGGAGGGGAATATGAGCTAGAATTGACTCGTCTACAGGGAGCAGATATTTCTTGACCAGGCAAAATCCTGGACTACACAGAATGCTGCCAGGTCCCCAGGCCCCCAGTAACCATAACAAACCATAACAAGGAGGAACCAGGGGAAGGATGAAGATTCAGCATTGCAGTAGACATCACAGGGGCCAGTGAACCCATATTCCTGTTATTAGGAGGATCTTCATGGCACAGTCTTGTCCTGATACAATTTTTATGACTGCTGGATAACCACTCAGATTAATGTCTGATCTCTCATGATTAAAAAAAAAATTTTTGCATGCTCCAAACCTCATATTTAGATAAATGTGAACAAAAACAAGTGTTCTAGAGGTATTTTTTAAGTGAAATTAAATTTCATATCCATTAACAGAAGATGTCATGGGCAGCAATTTGGCTTCAGAGATGCAGAACATTTAAGATGAAAATTCTGCTTATGGGAGAGTCATGAAAGGAAATGATTGCTGGAGCCTGCAAGACTAGCAGTGGGTGATGTTAAAAACATTTAATGTTTTTACCGGTTGGTCTACACGAATCAAAGTCAAGTAAGAAGGCAGCAGGTGTTAAAGTTGTTAGTGCCAATTATTAGTTTAAGGAGTTAAGAAACAACAATGGAAATGGATGATTTAGGGCTTTTAATGCAAAAAGAACAAATGATCTACAGTGCTGGCTAGAGCAACCAGTATGATGGATACACTGGGAGGTTGGTTTAGGCAAGAATGGAGAAACTCTGGTTTTCTTACGAAGTTTTCAATTCTTTACCTCCATCATATGTCTTTATTAAATTTTCAAGTAAAAAATGGAGCTGGATGTCCAAGCTGCAGCAGAAATAAATAGAAAAGCATCTTTACAGTGTGTGGGAATTCCCACTAATTGCCCCATGAGGGCAGATTTACAATCCCTATAAAAGCCAAATTTGAGGATCTGACCCCTGCTTGAAAAAAAATAATTAGAAATAACTGAAGTTATAACACTTCTCTAACACCTTTTTCATTTGCAACCCTCAAAGTGTTTTACAAACATTAACTTCGTGCAGACCCCAGGAGAGCTTCATTACTCTTCCCCTGCTCCCTATTTTACAGGTGAAAAAACAATGCAGAAGTGAAATGTCTTTCTCAGGACCACATACTGCCTGTCTTGTACCTACCAACTTCGATTCCCCTGCTCATACCACTAGATCCTGCGGAAAAGTTAGTGTGATAATTCCCAATGTGAAATTGCCTCCTGGAAAAGAAATGTATAACCCATTAAATATACAGCTTACTTACATTTTCTTATGTTTAAAGCACATCTTTAAATAATATGTTTTCAGTGAGCAATTTGAATAGTTCATAATTTATAACATTAAATCATGCCAAGGTGTTTTTTTGCAGTCAAATCTAATGAAATTGCTGTTAACTTCAAACCAGAAGTTGAGCCTGTGATTCATTGAAAGGTTTGTCACTGTCAGATTTGCAGTTAAACATATTAAAAATTGATCCACTTATATATACTTTGCTGCAGTTGAAGTTATCAAGGTTATAAATTCCGAACAGTTCCCATGCTTGTGGTGAGTAATACCAGTTTTAGGATGACAACATTCAGCATAACCTTTCTTTTTGCACTAAAAAGCATTTTCCTCCACAACCTATATGTTTAACCTCTGAGATTTCCCCTTTACAGAACACAAAGACTTCTGTTTTCCTTGTGTTTTAGAGATCATCAAGAAGCAGTATACTTCCTTTTTCTTTTCTTCAATGAGGGACTGTCTTTGAAATCACTTTAAGTGCAAGGCATGAAATACTGCTTTGTGAGTTTACATACCTCTCCCAAAAACAGTGGAAATGCCAGACTAATGCATTCAAAACAGATTGGCTTTGAGATTGTTTCCATATTTAGGTGTCTGATTTGGGGTGTCTGGAAAGAGCCCAATGCAAAGGATAGATATTAAACTTCAGGTGTCTCCCAAAAGATCATGTATATTTATATATGCAGTATGTGTGCCTATGCACTGAGCTCTCTGAGGAGGTGACTCTGGTCTCTGCTGTGTATGTTCCCAGCCCCCTTGAATGGAATAAAAATTCCTAGTCTTGTTTCTCCTAACTGTTCATCTCAAGCCTTCAGATCTTTCTCACTCTTGGATCTATTTTTAAAACCATTTTTTTTCCCTATAATATATAATCGGCAGTCACCTGACAGGAGAGTTTACTCAAGACTTCGAAAAAGCTGCTTCAGGACCACATGATAATAAATTCTCCTTAATCTCAAATATATACGAGATACAGAGCAGGGCCCACAACAAGTTTTATAGAGAGCATTAGTGTCATCAGTTTAAAGAGAATTGAAAAGAAAAATAACATTGCATTTCTGAGGAAAAATCCAAGTAGTGCATAATACTAAAAGGAACCTTTCTAGAGGGAATTGCTTATGAAAGAGATTTTTAGTTCAAAATAAAGAAATCACTAGGCACTGTATAAGCATTACATTGATCAAAAATAGTCTTCTGAAATATCGGGATCCAAAGAAGAGACCAAGTAAAGGGCACAAAGGAAAGTAAGCAAGCCAAACAGAGAAACTCCATCTTGCATTTGCAGCAAAGAATGTTTGTGATCAGACTCACAAATAAGACCCACAGACCTGCAGTTGGGAACATTCGAAACCTGACTTATAGCTATGATCCATTACAGTGCTAGATTTATTGACCACCTGTTGTGAAAACAGACCCTTTTTCACAGCAAAAGCTCAGCTCGCTGTTTGTGAAGTATCTCCTGTGTTATTTTCCCAATTTCCTCAAAGACGCGATTAACCAGTGCTGCTCCATCCCTGTGCTCACCAATCAGTGCAGTATTAATAAGATGCCAGGTGAGACAACTGAACCTCCTGGTGAGCTATTGAAAGGAAAGTGAGCATGCTAAAAATATTTAGAGATTTATTTGATTTCTCTACATGAAGTCCTCTATAATTTATCACTTCAGTTCACACTTGTTCTGTTTTCTGCTTTGTTTTATTTTAGAAGGGGGTCTTTCTCTCCTGATGTACAGTAAGCACATCAGAGGTTTGGATCTATGATGGTTGTCTGTGCACTCCAGTCCCTGTGTTTAGCTATTTTCCTATCTGGTACACTAGCAGGCTTCTCTGGTTGTTCTGCTGAGCACAGAGAGGCTGAAATGATATACATCTCAAATGTGTATATGTTGAGCAGTACGGTTACGGTGTTCTCTTCTTTAGGAGTTATATTGTTCATAAATATCCAGATATGAATGGGCACAGTGCTGGGGAAAGCAGGAGATTGATTCTTATTCTTCTGAGATGCAGAAGTAGCCTGCTCTGCTTTACTAAATCACAGTGAAACAACCCCCTCATATAATGGTTATTTAATTTTATCAAACAGGTCCCCTTGGAACAGGCAGGTTTTCTGTGAGAAGCTGAAAGCAAAATCAAACATGACATTTTGGGATATTCATCAAAAGCAGTTGAATGAATGAATGTCTGAAAACAAACACCAGTTTTTCCCCAATATTTCAATAGCCATGGTCAGAGACATGACAAATTTTAGAAATAAAAAAAAATCATTGGGCTTACATTGTAAACTGCTGACAAATAAAAACAATCAGTTAAATTTGTTTGAAAACTTGCGTTTACTTAGCATTATAATGGAAAGTCTTATAAGCATAGAAACAGTCCCATGGAGCTGTTGGATGCCTTGTAGGCAGTAACAGCAACTATTCTGTGTATGAAAGTCTGTCAAAATCAGTAAGGACTGCGAAGTCCAAAAGCAAAATAGGTACGGGAACATACAGGTAGTGGATGTAGTTGCCACTCAGGATGACCCAGAACTGGGTATCTCACTACATTTACTAAGAAAGGTAACAAGGCACTTTTGTTTCTGATACTTCTAAATTAACACAAAACTGACTACAGGACAAGTACATGGAACAGACTGGTTGATACTACTGAATAAAATCAAGTTTTTACTATAAATCAGTCTCAAAATGGCCAATCCTAGCCAGATTGAGAGGTCGTTGTATATCTAGTCATCTCCCAGGTAATGTTGAAGTAGGGATATTGATAGATTCATATGTGCCTGGGTGGAAAATTACCTGAAAATGTAAGAGGTCAGGCCTGGTATAATACAGAAGGCATGAATGATATCCAGAAAAATGTTTTGGTGAATGGACTCATCGCTGACTTGAGTTATATCCCAAAAGTCTCAATGAAGTTGACATTGTTGTCTTAGGCTGAGCACTCAACAATGCCGCTCAAAATCATTAACTGTCTTTGGAGATCTTGATTTTTTAATGTGGAGAGCCATTCGCAGGTGAGGAGTTTTTTTTTAAAAAACATATTGCTGTATTACATTAAAAATACATTATATTACATTGTATTACATTAAAATACATTGATATATAGCCATGTAAGTAAATATATAAATAAATTAATTTATTCCGTTCAAGAGAGGGCTATGAGCATGTTATATTTATCTCCACTGAGCACTGAATAAAAGCTTAAGAGCCTGTGGAAAGAAGTAAGGGCTGAGTACTCCTGAAAGATGGAAGCTTACTACTGTTTTACTGCTCAGTCTTAGTTTCACAGGACTTAACCCCAGGCAGAGATTAAATGGCAACTTTTTACAGGTTTAGACAAACTTACTGAGCCCATTGCGTGCAACAGGGCATTTTCTTTCAAAGGTGATTTATGTCCTCTGTGTGGCTGGAGCAATAAATACTCAGCAAATTAACTCCATGCTGGCTTGTAAAACAAAATCCACATTAATCTCAACTATCAGAGACAACTATAAATCGAATGAAAGTGAAACAGGGTAAAGAGAGTTTGGAAACAAAGCTCCATCACTGGCAACACAGCCCTGGGCAGACATTATGGCAATGTTGGCTGAGTTCAGCTGTCAGGAGGCTCCAGAGGACTGACTCTTGGGGCACCTTCAGCAAGGTTGAACATGAAGCTTCAGGTCTCCATAGGCCACATGCAAGGTCCTGGAGACCACTGTGGGGAATAATTACCTCTGCTCCAGGAAGGAGATCAGTAGGAAAGCTGAATTTTTTCTCAACAGGAGGAGGAAGGAGTAACTGGAGAGCAGGAATGGGAACATGGAGAACGTAGCAGTCTTTAAATTTTAACATGAGGCCCATTGGTCCTCTTGGGTCAATAGAACAGAGAAACTTCACCTTTTCCGGTTGACGTGTATGAGTCACATGTGTTTGTACCCAATGTGTGAGTTATCCTGGTTCTATCTTTCTGCAGCCAGTGCTCTGGGAGAATCACATTATTGAAGTCTTCTATAAAACTTGTTTCCGAATTATCTTTCCTGAATTAAAGGTCAATGCTCTTCTTTTTGAGCTAGCTCTGAGGAACCTCCCCCATAACTAAACATACAGGATTTCCTACAAGCAGTGCCTCCAGCTAATGCCAATGGAGGAAGCAGGAGTTGTTTCAGATTTGAGAGCTAAAGGTAAGGAGGAGAAGGAAAGAAGTATACATAGCTATTGTAGCTATTTCTACTGGACTATGAAATGTGGTGAAATTCCTATAGTTTTCTTAGCCTGAATAAATGTATTCATCAGGGCACCTTTTTATCAAAGAATACTGTATGCAAGTATCTGTAGGTGCATGGACCCTACATCCTATAGATGATACACAGATGCAGTGTTAGATATACACTTACAAAGCCTACTTAATTGCAATATAAGCAAGCATCATTTGCTATCGGATTTGCAGCACTCTCATATTCTGTGCTCCAAATTAGTCTTGGGTGAATTCCATCCCCGCAGCTCACCCATTCTTCTATTACAGCTAATCCAATTACTTCAGACTCTTATCTTCCTTCCAGTGTGCACATATGCCATCTTCCTCGTGGAAGTCATTCTGTAGAAAAGTTAATAAGCATATTTATGTTAGAGAAGTAATGCACCAAAGTTTTTATGAGCACAGGAATTTATTATCTTTGTGGTAAGCAAAGCAACACATTGATGAACAAGATGGATGAGCAATTTAAACAAATGAAAAGGAAGAATGAATGGATAACTGAAAAAGGCTACACCTCACCCCCAGTTCAGACTGGAAATAGCACAAAGAGAAATGTTCTTGAAAACAGATGGTTGACACTACAGAAAGTTTTTGGACTCAAACTTTCCCCCTTTACAAAATGAAAATATGCAGAGTGCCTGTCGATGATGGATTTTCCCAACCTGTAGGTACCAGTAGGATCTGACAGGGCACGCCAGAACTCTCTACTTGAATCAAGTCAAAGCTGAAACTTG